GGGGACACCCCTCCGGCTCCAGACCCCCGGGCTGATGCTGCCCACAGGAGGGAAAAAATAACCCAGCCGCACTGGCGAGCCCGGAATCTACTTGGAATCTCTCCCGCAATCCCAACAGAGTGCCACGTTCCAGCTGGACATTTCCTCCGTCCTCGGGAGGAGATTTTTGAACCAATATTTGCAAGATGAAGGGCTGAGGGAGCCGCAGCCAAAGCGATCCCGGCGCCTCGCTGGAAGTTACATCAAAGTTCACCTTAGAAAAACAATTCTTGCAGCTATGAGGATTTAAAAAGCATAAATTATTGAAGAGATGCAGGAAAGCTTTCCCCCCCTGCCTAATCCATCGATAGTTAACGTTTAAAAAGCCTGGAAGTAGAAGTTAACGAAACCCAGAGCTCCCACGAGAGTGCCCTGCTCCGTGGGTTAACGCATCACCGCGCACATCACTTGCTGGGACAGCTCTGCCAGCCCTCCAGGCACGCGCTGCGGCCGTTTTAACTACGCTTAAAGCCTCGTGGAAATTGGATCGTACTAAATCCTGTGCAGAAAGCGGCCAGATCGGGACTCTGCATTCCCGTAACGGACCAGTTACAAAGCGCGGTGGTGTGGAAGGTGGGCAGCTTGGCCATGTCGCAGGGTGAATTCCGAGTCAGTCCTACACATCGGGGGGGTGAGGCACGGCGAAGGTCCCACCAGGGCTGATTTGTTCAGGTAAGTGCTTTAGCTGCTGCCGAGATGCACGTTCTCCCCGTCCTTTCCTGGAGCATGAAAAGATACATCAAAATAAACCTGTCCCAGAGCAAGGGCTGCCTCCGGGCCCAGCACCTGGCACAGCTAACGATGCCCACAACCAGGACGCAGAATTTGCCTCAGACCTACTCTGAGATGGGAATTTATCACAGCACATCTCCAATAGTAACTTTCCCCGTTAGCGAAACGGCAAACGGCGACTTCTTACGCCTATTCGTATTGGCTGGACACCAGCTCTGAACTGAAATAAAATTAAATTTAAGGCTGACTTCACAAGGAACATCGAATTGTCACTGCCGCAGAGTTTCCTGACCAGCAAGGTGTGATAATTAAAGGATGCTAGCTGCAAAACAGGGAGAACCCAGCACAGAGTTCCAGTTCTGCATCAGGCCCTTCAGCCATCGTCTGCACCTACCGGCACAAGTCAGTAAAATCCCTTTCACATGCTCATTTCTTACAGAGGGGAAAGAAAAAAAAAACACCCAACCCCAACCAACCAAAAAAACCCCAGACAATACAACTTGGGACATCTCAAAGTCTAATTTAAAGCTGTTGCCCCCAAATCTACTCCTTTTCCCTTGCATCTAAAGCTAGAAGAGCTGCAGACATCCTTATTTATACACTGAACGTGGCCAAGTTCCATTTACAGTTACATGAAATATGTATTTCAGTGCATAAAAACTCTGGATGACCCTAGTTTTTAGCGTCACCTCTCAAACACAGGAGACCTTTTATCTCCTTTGTTTAACAAGCTGCCTGTCGCTAAGTACTAGACCTGACCTTAATACGTGATGGCAGGAAAAATAATAGTATCTGTGGTTAAATTAGAATCCTGAGAGACCTTTGGCAGGATGGGGGAGAGCAAAGCCTTGCCGTCCCTGCGGGCCCAGCCAACCTTCCGTCCCCAGCATCCCACTCATGGGCATGGGTGAAGCAGGGAGTTCTCCAGAAACCTGGGTGAAACGGGCAAACCAGTAATAAAAGATCTGCAGGAAAACCAGTCTGGGGAGGGCTGAGAAACAGCTAGAGCTCCCTAGAGCACGGCACAGAGACATCACCTGAGAGCAGACTGCACTCCAGCACGGCTGCTGCCACACTGCTGAATAGTATCAGCTCCCTGGATTCCTTTCTTCACCGTTAAAAATGGCTTATTTAATATTTTAGAAGCGTAGAACGCTACGCATGCGCCCTGCGTAGGAACGGCTGTGGAGCGACAGGGCTAGAAGCCGCTGTCTGCAACAGTCCTGGAACAACGTGGCTCTTCCCGAGTAACAGTTTTGATTGTCTGCAGCAGTCACTGGAGCTGCTCATTACCACTGGGGGCACATACAGAAAAGAGAAAAAAAAGAGGAAAAAGAACCTGAGACAGCAGAATTATTATAATAACCCTCCCAGAGGCCAAGAAGCGGCTACAGTGGTCTTAGTCATCCTGGAAACATGTTAATAGAAAATGTATTAATAAAACAAGCCTTCCGGTTCATAAAACAGCTTTTGTTTTTCTTTAAAGCTGATTGTCACACTGAAGCAATATTAAAAATATTCCACACTGATCAGAAACAACCTGCCTATAGTATGGTTTTTAAAAAAAAAAAAAAAAAAAATAGAAGTTGGCAGCCTGACCTCTACTTTGGATTTTTCCTCAAGTATAAAGTTCCTAATGAGTCATAAGGGATGGAGGTCAATGGGTTCTCACAAGAGAAGCCAGATGTTTTTGGGAAGGCAGGAGATACGTCACTGGGGAGGCAGCAGAACAGAAAGGCAAAAAAAAAAATAAAATCACCTTGTAAATCAGTCTCCTTATAAATCTCATAAGGACAAAATCTGGGAACTAGTACCTCCAAAAATGGGCCCAATATAAAGAGATTGGTCCCTAGAGTTACTAACTTGAAGTAATTATTTGAACAAATACTGAAAGAGCAATTTCAAAGCAAAGTCTACCTTGCTGGCAAACAGTAAGCACAAAGTGGATCAGCTTCACAGTGTGCTGGTTTCACCTTACAGCGCTCTCAGTGATAACGCGTGAGTTTTAAAATCAGTCTGACAATAAAATACAGTAAAAATAGTTTTACGTATGACATGACATCCAGCACACTGAAAGACATTCCAGCAGCTCTTATTGTAAGGTACAGGAACATAGCAGGCCGGAAGAACAACCAGTTGCCGACTTTTAAGTGCACGCACTTAATTATCGGCGTGGATAATCGACAGCCGACCCAGAAGAGGTTGTGGCAAAAGGCAAATCCTTCCCACCCCACCTCGAGTCCCGGGCACTTTGTTCACCTCAACCACAGTGAAAGAGTCAGCCTTCGGTCTTTGCAGGACGCTGCCCTGGCCACAGGCATCAGACGCCCTCTGTCATTCCTCCCAGTCTTCCATCGCCCACTCGGGCATCTTGGAGCAATACTCAAACTCCGCTCCCTTATAGCGCAAGGCATGCAGGTACATCACCAGCTCCTTGGGAGACGGGTCCCGCCTTCTCATTCTACACTCGACGCACAAAGGGTCCTTCTCTTCTGAACTCCCTTCTCCTGTTTGCCCGTCCTGATTCTCACACGAACCAAGTTCGTTATTTTTTTCAAGCGTTTCCAGGTTAGTATTAGAGTTCAGCGGACAAGCTGTTACATCATTTCTCTCATGATCCTTACCGTCCTCAGCAGGGCTGGAGTTCTCGTTTATAGAATCAGCCCGCGCAGACTTTGTGCAGTCACTTGGATTACCGCAGTCTTTATTTTCAGCATTGGAGTTCAAGTCCTCCTCCGAAATACCCAAGATATCCAGGCTCTGTTTGGAGCGATGCTCCTCTACCAGCGCCTTAAGGAGTTCTTCATCCGTTTTACCGATCTTGCCTCCTCTGCCCCTGTCGGGGCCCCAGGCTTCCATGTTATAGATGGGGTCATTGACAATAGGATGCCCCAAATACTGCAAGTGGACCCGGATCTGGTGCGTGCGGCCGGTGCGTGGAAGACACTTGACTACGCTGGTCTGGCCGTTGTAGCTGAGTCTCTGGAAGATGGTTTTGCAGAATTTCCCTTTGGGGTCCACGCGGCACACTCCCACTTTGTAAGAAACCACCAGTATGGGCTCTTCACAGACGACTTCGTGCTCTGGGAACTCCCCCACCACACGACAGACGTACTCCTTTTCCAGCTGCAGGGAGACAAGAGTAACTTTCAGAAAACTGTCTCTGTCCTGATTACACCTGAGTCTCATCCCAGCTACTCCTCTCTTTATCTTCAAGGAAATGCATTTGTAGGCAATATACTCCCAAAACATTATTACAACTCAACAGGAATGGGAAAAGAAATTTAGAAAATCAGCTACTTAAAGCCAAGTTTCTCTCACGCTTTCTCCAACTAGTTGGGCAATCAGGACAGTAAGGGTCTGGCCCGTCTTCCTCATATTAAATTCAAGAGCCAGCTCTCGGTGCTTTGTGTTGCAACCTTCGTTCCACCACCTTGATGCAAATCCTGGAAGCTAGTGCCCTACCGCTACAGCTCTGTTCAGGTCGACAGCCACTGGAAAAAGTGAGAAAAACTTCTAAAACTGAAAAAGTCCTAGATGACTAACACTTCTACTGATAAATAAAACTGCTAACTTGTTTGCACAATCCCAGCCAGTCTGCACAGTCCCTTAGGGAAGGAGATCCCTTTCAATCTAACATTACCAAAATCAATGACATTTTCACTCAATTCTTCTTCTCTTGACGCCTCTCATGCATAATACAATCAGAATAGTAAGGTGACCACAAGCCATTTTGGGAACTTGTGCTCATTTACACCAAAAATTTGGCCGAGTTCGGCCCTAACCCGTTTCAAGAAAACGGCGTGCCAGAGACTCCAAAACCTACTGCAAGCCCTTAGCTCTCACCTGTCTCTCCCGAACCTGCTCATCGATCCTCTTGGATACCTCTGCGGTCTTGGCAAACATAAGTACTCCTGAGGTCATGCGATCGAGTCGGTGAATGGTATGCAACTCCTTCAGATCATGCTCTTTGCCTAGGATGAAGATGACCGTGTTGTGACGAACCCTGCCGCAGGGATGTACTGGCAAAGAGGAGGGTTTGTCCACAACCACCACCTCATCGTTCTCCACCAAGATCTGGATAGGCTGGGCAGTGACCGGCGGCTCGTGGCGATGCACTGTGTTCCTGAGAAAATCATTATTCTGCAAGACAGACAGACAACT